CCCTCATAAGAATGTTAGACTTTTAGACTGTGTATCTAAATCAGCTAGACCTTTCTAGCATTTATTAGCTACCTTATCTCCAGTAACTAATGCTCTGGATAACGACTGTACGAACTGGGAAAAGACAGAGTAACTCAGTTCCCTACTATACCTTTCCAAACTTTAGTCATCATTGGTTTCATGGACTTAGTTTGCCAGTGATTTATTTACTGGCTACCAAGAAAATATATTTTGGGACCTGTGCTGGAGAAAAGTAAGTACTCTCAGTAGTTATTCACTAAATATTATTTAAGAAACAAATCCCCTTTCATATTTCCAAAACCAGTCAGTGATATTAAGTCATGATGATATTTTTTATCTATCATACAATTTACAGAAACTTACTATTTCAATGGGAAAGATAATCTGCAAATGATATAAAAGATGAACTGCCTCCAAAAAGTATGTGAAAGCTGCTGGAGTGATTCTAACAGATTTTGGATAAAGGCTATTGTAAATGAATAACTGTCTGCCTTTTGACTAGCGGGCTGTCTAGACTGGTATATAGCCTAATTTTAGACTAATACTAGAGCAATATATAAATTTTAGTCTCATAATTTAGAAAGATCTATCATTAATCATAACAAGTCCAACTGGAGAAGATAAATTCTTGCTTCTTCAGTTAATAATTTTTGCTTGCTTAATGTTCTTTAAAAACATTACTTTATAGGACTTTTCTGTTAATCTATGTTATTTCATATAATCTAATTATGCATTTATGCATTTATTCAAATAACTTTAGGTTGAAGACAACAGATAGATATATAAAATTTGGAAAATTACCTACCATTGGTAGATGTTTAAATTAAGTATATTTGTAGCTTTACTTTTTAAACAAATTCATATATCATTATTATGAATGCATATCACATTTGTATTTTTCTTAGATATTGATTTTACATCATTTATATCTCTTAGGAAAACTGATTTAAAGAATTAATTGGGTCAGAGTTAAAGTTGTTGTTTTTTGTGAATTATTATGTTTTTACCTGAAAAAAGTTTGTTCAGTAGATGCAAATTTAACAGGCAACATTTCAGGACATTATAAGAATTACTTGCAAAATTTACATCAAAAGTTGACAATATTCTGACGTCAAGGGTTGTCAGTCAAACTTTACTTTGAATAATATGAAGACACAAAAATCTCCGTGTGACAGGTGGTAGACAAGAAGTGTCTACCATCTTTGCACAGGAAATTAAACACGTGTAGAATAAAGGATTGAGCACTGCTTTTACAAAGGCAAAAACCTTAGGCTTCTGTCCCTGGAGTTGAAGAAAACGCTACTCACTGTAATCTGTAGGAAGATTTTCCGAATCTTTTTAATTCTATTAATCGAATAAATAGCCACAGTTTATTAGCTGTTGATAAACTTCTAATCGATGGTCGGGTTCATAAAGAGGTCAAATCTGCTAAATGTCAGTAAACAATGTTACAGGATGACTGAAGTGGTACTCAAATAACTATTACTTGGATGACATACACAAAACAGGGCCAGTTTACATATCCTCCCTGCTCGCTATTGTGTTTTGGCAGCATCTGCAACAGAGTGAGTATTACACAAAATATTTAAATAAGACTTCCTTATTTAATCACATCTTTTAAAGGACATAGTGCCTTAGTGTTTATAGAAGACAGAGAAAAAAAGCTATTTTCATAAGCAGCTTACAGCTGAAGAAGACCAAAAGGAAAGATGTCACAAGGAGAAGTGGATGTGACAAAATTCTTTTTTTCTTGCGTCTACCTTTTTGATTTTTACTCTGTTTTCCTATAGACTCTTATATTTACTTAAAATTTTGTCCTGTGCTTTCACCTGTCATTCCTCAGGAAGCACTGTTATTACTTAACTTCTTCTTACTTTACTGACTTGAAGTATCCTTGTCACCTCCTTGCCATCTGAAGCTGGAGGATGCTCCACTAACATTAAAAGGCTCCAAGAAGTCTATAACTGTGGATGAGTTTGCTGCCTTCTCAGGGAATAATCAGACAGCCTTGTGCTGGGCTAGCTGGAGAGCCTTCTTACAGTCTCGCAGCTGGAAGTCCTACTTGCCTCAAAGAAGAGGTCAAAAAAGATGTGTTTGTGCCTGCTGGCCACTGCTAAAGGAGATATACTCCAGTTCGGGTAGTTTGGTACTGGAAAGATTGGGAGTGCTCCCACCAACTTTTGTAGTGCCTCAGCATGAAGCTTTTAACTTCCACTTGAAGGGTGGTGAATGCTTGCTGTTGGTGATCTTCCACTGTGGATCTGAAAGGTCTGCAAAAATTCATCTGATCATATTTTCAACCTCCTTGGAAGAATGGAGGACTTTCCTCCCAGAAATGTAGAAAGAAATATTTTTTCACATTTCCTCATATCTTAATGTCACATTTTACCCTTGGTTTAGTTAGTTTATTATACTAAATGGAAATTAATACCTTACGTAGTTTAACCTGAATAATAACAATACATAGACACTCAAAAGAAAAGCAGGCTTAGCAATCGACAGGTTTGTGAAAGGAAGTTACTGTGCCCAACTCTCTGCTCCATTATAGAAGTTACATGCAGATGTTACTGCTTTCACATCAAGAAGTTTATGCAGTCCTATAGCTGCTGTAATACAGTTAAGACGACAGCTCCATAACAGCAGGCACATAAATGCATAAACTTCTCCTAAAAGTCTGCTGCCTGTGGTGGAGAAGACTGCAGGCCTCCTCAGGAGGTCCTGGGAAAGGTTTAGTAGAAGACAAGTGCCCTTTTTATCATGTTTCTGTATCCATGCACTTTTCAAAGGCATTGAAGGAATATAGCGTCTGAATTCTATCAGCTTTCAGTGGGAAATATGTATCCAGCTGCTATTTGTGCTCCTAAAAACACCCAACAAACCAGCTGAGGTATCCCTCAGAAATTCCTGTCTTTACTGCATGATTCCCCTGTGTTCTCTACCAAAGCAAAAAAAACATTTAAGTTACAGACCATTCCAAAAAAAGGGGAAAAAAATTGTGTTTATTTATAAAAATGTTTTGTGATCCATATCTTTTTCTTATTTTTGTTTTTACACTCCATGTCATAGTTTCCCACTATTGAGCTTTTTAGGAGAACAGCCTCATTATTTTGTTTGACGTGAACATTCCTCTTCACTTACAGAGTCCAGCAGAGAGCCTGATGCAAACAGCCTTGGAAGTCCAACTCTCCTTCACCTGTTCTCTCATATTGAATTTATTAAGCAGCAGATGGCCAGGGACAACGTACAGTTTGTCAGATTTGAATCAATAGACCTCCATGGTGTGTCAAGATCAAAGAATGTTCCTTCTCGCTTTTTTCACGTGAGTTTTTTGGTTTCTAGCTGTACCTTTATGTGTTTTCATGGCCCTGTCCTTAATTTTTTTTTTTTTTTCATAGTGCTGGCAGAACTTAAAACAAATTATCTGTTCCCTCCACTTGTTAATGTTCCCAAAGGATCTGGACTGTTTTCATTACCGCAATCATCTATTCCTCTGTACCCCCAAATAGTAATCTAATTAAATAAGGCTAGTAATTTCAGTTCCTTGAATTTCTAATAATCTCTTTCCTCAGAATTATCTTTTCAGGTTCAATGCATTATAAAGATTTTGTTTTACTGAACATCAGTAAATTGCAAAAAGAAAGGAGTAAACACTAAAAGAAAGATGACAATGAAAATCACTTTAGCTGTGAGAAATTTTACAGTCATCAATCATATAAGAAAATACCATTGGGTTGCATGATGACTTAATAGTAATATTTGCCATATTGATGATTCAGGAAATAAAAAACAAATCAGGAAGCAATCCTCACTGTGTTTATCCTTGACCGATCAGCCTTTTCAGTATATTGTTTCTGTGATACTTCATGTGCATAACTACATTATACTTCCACTCACATATCACTATGAACATTTTAAGCTTTACTGAGTGATCACAAAAAAAGATATGAACATGGAAAGATGTAGAACACTTTTGTTTCAAGTTCCTTCTAAAGCCTAAGCCATGTTTTCACTATTTCTCTTCTAGATATTGCTAAACTGCAACTGTATCATCTAGATAAATTTGCTCACTCTGACGTCATTTGGATTTTGTCAAAATAAACTTTCTCTCAGTCATTTTAATTCTTGTGAGGGGTCATAGGTTAATTGCAACTTTTCTTTCAGTTGTTATGTCAAATTGCAAATGTCTAGATCAGTTTGTTTAAAGACAGCTTTTGTGTTTATCTTACCATCTGAACAAACTGGAGCTTTGGATAACAGTCTAAATTTTTGGACACTAAAAAAATGTGTATGTGTATACACACACACACACACACACATGTATGTATACATACAGAGTGACTGAGAGTAATTTCCTTTCATATTGCGCAGTTTTGATTATGGGTGTCACACAGGGAGAATTGTTACTACTGGACTGTCACCTACTTAAGAGAAGGCAGACTTTATTTATTCATTTATTTTAAGAGAAGCCACTGTATGCAGTTTGAAGTATTTCAACAATTTTCCATCTGGATAGGAAAATTTTGTTTTTTCAGCTCTGAGCTTGCCCCTTTTTAGGTTTGTTCTGACTCTTCTGCTCACTCAGATGGTAATCCTTTTCCTTAGAAAAATAAAGGTAAGACAAACATGAGCCAAATTTCACTTGATAGAACTTGGCGTAATTGCAGTTTTCATCAGCTTGGGGTCCTATCTACATTTCATAGAATCATAGAATCATAG